TTATGCAACCAGCAAAAAGGTAATGACTGAATTGAGAATGTACTAATGTTCACATTTCACAACGCGCCCGCTGCTGCGAGGTCAACGTTTGCTCAATCTGCGGCTTTGGCTTCTTCCCCACGCCGCCCCCGGCTGCAGTGGCTTCCCCCTGTTGCCCGCTCCCTCAGACACCCACCCTAGCTTGCACAGCCCGGAACAGGAGGGGAGGGGGCGTACTAATGTTTTGCGTGCCTTTTGGGTTATGAATTGACCACACGTGATCGAGGGGGGGTTGATGACGGGTTGGTTGACTAGAAACCAGAAGCGGGTTGCATTGCAGGGACAAACAGCCGCAGCCGCCCGCGGATGGTAGCGGTGTGTGTGCTACAATAGTTGACTCACGCAAAGTCAACGTCATCCGTTGGAGTTCGAACCGAGTACATACAACGTCATCACACAACCCCATCCACCTCACCCATCCGCCCTTGCCTGCACTCCATATTCCATTTCCAACCGTTCAATTCCATCCCATCTCATTCAATGCCATTCCATTACTACACCATACTGTTCTATTCCCATCTATCTGTGTGACCTGCCTGCCATGTGACCCCGGCTAGTGTAACATCGAGAGGTAGGTGTGTACAAACAAAACTCATTGCCCCTTCCATCCCATTACCTCGACCCGACGATCTGCCTCATTTTCCTCCGTCCGATTCCGTGCAATAACATTCCATTTTTTATCCTTCGATTCCATCTCATCAACCATATTATTCAATTCCATCTCATCACATCCCATTCCATTACCTTTCCCGACGATATTCCTCATGTTTCTCCATCCCATTCCGTTCAATTATCATTCCACTCAACATCCTTCAATCCCATCCCATTCCATAAAGCATGTAATTCCATTTCATGTCATCCCATCCCATTACCTTTACCTTGCCCCGATGATCTGCCTCATCTTCCTCCACACCGCGGCCTCTGGCAAGGGTGACCGCCTCAACACCTCCACCGCCGCATGAAGCTCGTAGTGCCTGTGGGACATCGCCAAACGCTGTCCGCCAGTAAGCCCCCCCCTCCTTGTCGCGCCGCCGCCGCGGTTCTTCGAGCTGACCTTCCGCTTATCGGACGTTGGAAGCGACGGAGCACCACGGGAACTCGACCCGGTTATCCCCGGCGGTGCAACAGGCACACCAGTCACGGCAGCAGCAGCAGCAGCGCTAGCACCACCACCTGTAGGTGCTGTGCGTTGATGTCGTCGCCGTAGCTTCCACCCGCCGTGCCTGTCATGCATAGGGTTCCTGACTACCGTCGTGCCGGCATCATCACCGCGATCGCTGCTGCCCCGTGGACTGGCGTGGGGGGGAAGGGGGAGGAGGGGGAGGAGGAGACCGTGGGGGGGAGGGGAGGGGGGTTACTTGCCACCGTTCATTGCCAGTTACGTGTGGCGGCTACTGACCATGCACGTTGTTCTCGTTGCCAATCAAGTGCCATGCACGGGCGTGTAACGACTTGATGTGGGTACTGGTGTTGTAGGGCAACGCGAAAGATGCCAGGTGCAGCCTTCGGGCACGGGAGGCTGTGGTCGGCTGGGTTACCGGGAAAAGCATAGGACATAACATAAAACATGCACATGTTTCTGCCGACTGGACCAACATACTCGAGGTTTCCTTGTACAGTAAGGTGGTTGGAGAAACGCTGTCCGCAGCCAGCCAGGAGAGCGTCAAATGCCGACTTCAAACCTGTTTGATTCTGTGTCCATACTATGCTCTACCGCAATATTTCGGGAGTAAACGTGCTTTCCTTCACCAGCGTTAATCACACCACGCCTTTCGTCACTTTTGCCCCTGAACAGTCCGCATCTATCCAACCAAACGACCATCCATGCCGTCCCATAAAAAAAAACATGCACTAGACCAACAGCAACAACATCATCATCAACAACCACCACCACAACCTCTAGCAGCAGCAGCAGCAGTAGCGGCAGCAGTAGCAGCAGCGGCAGCAGTAGCGGCAGCAGTAGCAGCAGCGGCAGCAGTAGCGGCAGCAACAGCACCAACAAGATCATCAACGACGACAACAGCAACAACAACAAAACAACCACCACCAACAACAACAAGAATATAAAAAACAACCACAGCACCTGGAACGTCGGGTGCCAGACGAACATCGGTGGACCAAGGCAAAGCCCATGTGCGTCAGACGAATCCGCCATCGTCCCAAGGTAGTCATCACCGTCTGCCAAAGAGTGTCCGCCGCTACCACCGAGTCACGNAAGGCAAAGCCCATGTGCGTCAGACGAATCCGCCATCGTCCCAAGGTAGTCATCACCGTCTGCCAAAGAGTGTCCGCCGCTACCACCGAGTCACGCGTTTGGACCATCTGGCATCCATCCATAGTCACCATCATCGTTTTCAATACGTACCGTCCAAGTTGCCAGAGGGTGAGAGGGTGAGAGGGGGGGAGGGTGGGGGTGGAATGAGGGAGGGAGCGACAGTCCTTGAAGGACAGGTATTTGAGGCGACCATGGTCATCTCCTACAACACGTCCGACAACATCTCCGACAGCATGTTAACATCTCCGACAACGGCTGTGACCCCAGGTTTGACTCCAATGTCGACAGAGTATGAAGACGAAAAATAGCAACAAGACTTGACAAAAGCAACCACAACCGAAAAAAGAATAAAGCATCCTCCACCAAACATCAAACCTGGAAGGCATCGAGCAGGATGGAGATGACGATGTTCAGCAGAAGAATGCACTGCAGTGTCTGCACAAAGCAAAATACGAGAGGAGCAAAAACGGTAGAACCACGACTTCCTGTGTTCAACATGTAAGGAGGGGGGGCAACGGCGGGGATGGCAACGATATTCTCAAAAAACAGTGGCGACGATGACTTCATTACAAGGAGGAATACCTCGCCGCGTGAAAGAAAACAAATTTTGGAAATACCGTCAGTCACGGAATGGGGGTGGTTTACAGCAAGCCCGTGGGACTTTCTGAGACTGCAGATTTGGGTTCAGGTGAATGCAGATATCATGCCTACCACTTCCGTCTTCCATTTGGCTCTGCTTGCGGACGCTCGTCTAAATATATACATCTTCCCACCCACGTGCAACGTCGTCAACAACAACAAAAAAAGAAAGAAGTTGTCGAAAGAGATGACAACGAGATGACGAAGAGATAACAACGAATAGACGAAAGATATAACAACACCAACCAACAACACGCAAGAGATACACAAAAACGACAACCAAAAACAGTTGCCGATGCCAGTAAAAGCAAAAACAGCAGCTACAGCAGTACAATTTCCACCAGCACGATCACAACCGCTACCAACACAATCCACACTTGACCCTCCCATCATCTCCCATCATCACTTACAAACAGCAACATCAACACGCCACCATACACGAAATGATTTGTTTACCTGGTAGGTGACGATGATCATAAAGGCGGCGCCACCGTCGATGTCGACCATGAGAGGGTAGATGTTGTCGAACTCCCCCAGCGCTATTCTTGTCATGGTCACGA